GGCTGCTGGCTACATACAGTAGCCCATGGCAACCCACTGCAGCAGGGGCTGCAGCCTACGCCGTCGCCGGCGACTCACGGCAGCCCAGCTCCAGGCTGAGCTGTTGTTCAGCATTTTAGCTGTAAAGGGCAGTGTCACTGGCCCTCATATGTGGGATTCAAACCGGGGCCTCTGGCATCCCAAGCCAGCTCTTAACCAGTGCGCCACTGGCCCGGCCCATATATTTCTTAAAGGCTGGAATAATAATGCCTCTAATATATTTGCAAATCAGAAGGGAACACAATATCTAAATGAGGCTTGATTTCAGGTGGGGCCATTGGATGAACTATCTTTTTTTTTTAATTAAAAAAATTTTTTATTGGGAAATTGGGGAAGGGGAACAGTGTTGGGGGATTGGGGAAGGGGACCAGCCAAGCTGTTGTTCTTCAATCTTCGTTGTGGAGGATGCCAGTCACCATCTGGCTTCTGGTCAGCAGCTCAAGGTGCTGTGTTCAATCTTAGTTGTGGGTGGGCGGGCATAGCTCACCATCAAACAGGTAGTCTTGTTGTTACATCAGCTGAGCTATCCTGCCACCCGTTGGCAGCTCAGTGACAGCTCGGCTTGGGTGCAGCATCACTGGCCCATGTGGGAATCGAACCGGCGGCCCTGTTGCTCAGAGCTTGCATTCTTAAGCCAACTTTTTTTTTTTTTTAAGCTGAGCCATCCCGCCACCTGTTGGTAGCTCAGCGGCTGCTCAGCTCGGGCCGGACATCGAACCGCTGTTGCTCAGAGCTCAAACTCTTGAGCGAGCTCTTAACCAACTGAGCCACTCGGCTGGCCCATTTAAGCCAACTCTTAACCAACAGAGATACCCGGCTGGCCCTGGATGAACTGTTTTAGATTTTAGCATTTGCTACATTTATGGAAGGTTTAATATACAAGTATACAGAAAGGAAGACAAGTTATTTTCTATTCCAGGAGCCACTCTTATTTTGTAATGCGTTTGCCCCAGTGTTTGGATATTTTGGCAGTAAACACCCCAGCATCAATCACACTTCAAGTTTCTTTGGCTATGTGGGCCCATGACTTCCCACCAACTGTCCTATTTCATTCTGTAGTATCTTATCTGGCTCCTTCAGAACACAATAAAAATTCCTATCTCCTTTAGGGCCTGGCCCTTCCTTTGGCCTGATGCTTAATCCATAGGAATGAAGAGATTTTCTAAGAGAATGTCAGTGGTTCAGATAAATTTTTGCTGTCCCGATTTCATTATGTAAATCAACTTGAATCACAAGTTTGTTTTTGGACTCAGGGTAAAAACTGGAGGTCACTCCGGCCATCCCTGAAGCCAGGCCACGTGACAGCCCTTTGGCCTCTTGAGGAAATGTGGCTGCCCCAGCCACTGGTTTTATTAAGTGTGGTCCCAGCTAGAACCTTAAAAGGAAATGAAATTCTCTTTAAATCTATCAAGAATTAGACAGAGAGCATGGGTTCAAGATTGTTTTTATTTTCAGAGCCTGCAACAGTTAGCAATACTAGCTAAGCTGGTACAATCTGAGGCCATCCCACCTCCCTTTTCAGGGATTCAACAGAATCCCTACAAACAAGATTAGAGATCAACTGAGATGTGTCTCAGTGTGGGGAAAGGTCTCCCTCTACCCTTCCGTTCCCCTACTCCCCACATACTTTTTCTAACAAGATTGTTTTATAGCCAAATGCAACTCAAACCCATTAACATGGCAACCAGTCATCTCCAGTATCACTGGTTCCCTCCCCATCCCCAGAATAGGAAGCCAAGGCAAGCGGGGAGACTGACTCTCCGTAGAAGACAAACTTGGCTACACCCCAATGGAGCAAAGGAGGCCAGCGCCTGATGGTGGGGATGAGCAGGAAGCTAACATTCCTGTCCACAACCAATCAAGTCAGCCCAGCTCCCCGGATGGGAGGTGTTCCTCTGAGACCCCTACTTCCATGGGGTTAGAGGAGGAGGCAGCTAACTGGTGATGATGCATCACTCCGTCCCTCAAATTAAAACATGATAAACTCAGAGTTTTACCTTCCAACTCCCCCACGCTGCCTCCTGAGAAACACATTCCACAGTTATCTCTATGCCAGGACCCACTCCCTTCTCTTCACACCCAGGGCTCCCAGCCCCTCTCCCCACCCTTGGATGGGCCAGCCAACACTGATTTGATACTCCTTGACTCATAAAATGACTATTTTTAGAACATTCCAAGCTATCAGAGTATCAGAGTAATAGAAGGAAGACACTCAGTGTATACTCCCCTTCCCCATCCCAGAGCCCACCCATGCTTGCCACCTCTAGTCTGGGATACCTACGCTACCATGTCCCAACACTGACCTGGGGGTGGCCCAATGGAAGCTGCCAGAAGTGCTTTCCTGTGACTCCTATACCAGCCAACATCACAGAGAACTGGGGCAAAAAAGAGCAGGGTCACCCCCCGCCCCCCCCAAACAGATCTCAGTGGCCTTCAAGGTAGGTCTGGGAGGTTTAGCTTATGTCCTGGAGCCAAGGCCGAATCCAGTGCCTGCTCCCACCAGTACCTCAGTCCTTGGCTTTAAGTAGCAGCAGCCCCAGTACCACAGCGCCTCCTGGGAGTGACAGAGCTCCTAGTTCTGTCCACGACTTAAGTTTGCCTCTTCTCCCCACTCTCCCTTTTTCATTAAAAGCAGAGGTAGTCCTTGGGATGATGAAATCCTACCTAGAATGGCAGTATTGTGAATCAAGGAAGCAGTTAAATTAAGTCTCCAGGAGTTAAAAAAAATAATAAAATAAAGTGATTGATGAGGTTGAATAAATTAAAGACATGGGTTAACCCACAAAGACCATCTTCTTCCCAGGCTGCCTTTGGTATTTGGCCAACAGCATGTCCGTCTGTTATTTCTCTCCACTCCCACTCTCCTACCCACCCCTCAGCCCCGCTCCTGAGGGGCTGGCGCGCAAGGACGCCCTGGGTGGTTCCTCCAGCTGTGGGATGAGCTGCCAAAACATCTTGGTGCTCGGAAGTGTGCTGTGGCATGTGACAGACTTGGCAGACTGTCCTGGTGCAGGGACGGAAGAGGCGTAGCCAGCAGGATGCTCTGGGCTCCGCCCCTGGGAGTGTGGCAGGTGGGTTTAAGGCGGGAAGCCCCAGGCCCTCTCTCCAAATGTCACACAGCTGGTCCCTTCACTCCAGTGTCTCTGCAGCAGAGCGGAGGGGGGAGGGCGGGCTGCTGCTGTCCTCAGAGCTTCTTCAGGCGGCTGTACATCTCCCTCTTGCTCTTCTCCCCTGCCCAGGTCCGGCTCTTGGTGCGGAACTTCTTCAGGTCTTCTTTAAAGTCCTCATGATGCATGGGCCGGTAGCTGGGGGGCTCACAGTGGGACTGGGGGACAAGAGCGGGTGAGGTCAGGGCACATCTACCTTCCTACCCCCCGGCGCTGCGAGGCTGGGAGCAGCGGTACAGATCTGGCTGGAGAGTTCTAGGGCCCCTCTTGTGCAGGGCAAATCCCTGGGCCCCTGGCTGAAAACACCACAACCACCAGACAGATCCAACTGTCCAACCCGGGCTCCCCATCTTACCTGGCATTTCAGGAAGAACTCCTTGTATCCGCCCTTCAGGACATACAGCTCAGGGTAGTGGAGTCTGGGGTACTCGTTACCAAGCCGATCTCTCTCTCTCACGTAGCGGCACCTGGAAAGGGAGCCACAGCAAGGTGAGCTCTTCCAGGTGACCACGCAGCCAAAGCAGTGACTGAGGAGAAGTACTTACACACCTTCCCAACTCTACATTCATTCATGGAAACAATCGGTGCTGACTTTCCTGGCCAAGTGTGATCTTTAGAAGTGTCAGAGTCAGTGTCACTGCTTGTATTGGAAGGTGGATGGTCTCTTCCTAAAGTTCCCTTTTCCAAGTTAAACAGCCCTAGCATCTGAGCCCTGCCTGGCATCCTCCCTGCCACCATTCACATGTCATCTGCAGTGACAGCCTCGAGCCAGCTTCCCACTCATGTCCACCCTTACCACATCCCCAGCCTCCTCTGCCGTCTGTCCCCACTTTCTTCCTGTGGCTTCTCCACAGGCTGAGCTGCTCCCTCCTCAGGGCACCTGCTCGCATCCTATGTCTGGACTGAATACTAAATATTCTCCTCTGATGTCCTCACCTGGCTGGTGGCTCCTTACTGCCCAACCCTTGGTGCAAAAGCCAAAGTCTTTACAGTGGCCTACACCTTGTCACCTCGACTCTCCACTCCAGCCACTGTGGCCCCCCCTTGCTGTTCCTCCAACCTGCCCAGAAGCACTCAGGTCTGGTCTTATTTTTCTCAGAAGCACCTTCTAATGTAGTGAATATTTATTTACCTATTTATGATGTCGGCCTGCCTCCTGCCTACCCTGAAATGTCAGCCCCTTGAAGACAGGGGTTTGTCTGTTTTGTCCACTATTCTCCCCAGTACCTGGGATGGTATCTGGCACATTGAGAGGTAAGTGTCTGTAGAGTAAATACTTCCACTCGAGAATGGACCTTAGGTCTTGCTCAAACCCCACCTCTTGGTGTGATCATGGCTTTGTGCTAGTGCAGGGCAAGTCCTCATCCTTAGGAGGCAACTGTTGAAGGACCTGGGGAGACGGTCACATACACCAAGTTCCTGCTGGAGTCATGTGTGTGCCAATGTGGCAAAACAATAGCAATTGGTGAAATCAGGTCAAGCACGTGCCCCTTTCTGAGCTTTGAAATGGTTCCAAATAAAAAGGTGGCACAAAACAGGGCCCTGGGGAAGTCTCTCTGGGGCCATCCTAGTTGCAGCTGCACTCCGCCCTGCCCACCTCGCTAACCATCGGCAGCGCCTGTCATGATCACCCGTCTCCTTACTGGGACCTCCCTGCATCAGGCGCCCATCAGTCCTGTTCACTGCTGTACCTTCACTGCCTCAATAGTGCCTGACCCATTCCAGGCTTGCAGTCCTTTCTCAAGGGACATGGATGACAGCTGGGCAGCTGCCTGCTGTCTTGCTTTTCAGTATCAACCTTCACTTCTGAGCACATTTTTCAGCACCAGTGCTGTCACCATTAGTGAGAGCTTAGAGGATGCTATTAGAGCCTCAGAATATCACTTTAAATCTTAGGTCAGTGTTGTTTTATTGTAATTATACTTCCACCTATTTTGGTATAAAATAGATCTTTAGATAGTAAATTATAACAGGGTCTTAGATACCAAAGCCCAAACAGAGATTCATGGTAATAAGAGGTACATGTGGGGGCATTTCTTCTCACCCCCAGTGTGGCAATCACGTGAAAGTATACAACCCACTCCCTTTGCAAACATAGGTGGGTGTGACAAGTGTCTGAAACATTGAGTTTCACAAGGAGTTCACACTTTTCTGGCATTTGCACATATAGCAACCACATTGTACTTGAAGGATGTCACTTGGAACAGTAGCCGCACGGTTAGAACTAAGGACAGTGGGGGAAATTGGAAGAGCCAGAGTTTAACCCAATTAAAGAAGGTTAAACAGTGAGACACGCCCAATAGCGGCGAGGACTAACTCAGGAGCGGGGGCGATGGTGCAAGCCCAGCTCCCCGGGGGTTACTGCACGGGCAACACTAGCTCCATAGACAGGCTGGACTGGACAAGCCCACAAGCCCTTCCCAGCAGAAACTGTCAGGTTAAGCCGAGAAACTGCTCAGTGAAGCTATTCGTGACATCAAGCGACTGCTAAATAGAGAATTTGAGAAGACATCTATTACATGTCAATTCACACTTTCACAAAACCGTGTGTTTACATGCCACGTGTGCAGGCTAAGGCACGAAAATGATGCGTGATATGCCAGTTCTGGGCAGCACTTACATGCGAGGGCCTCGTTCAGAAGAAAACTCGCAGTGGAAGACCACGATGACACGCTTGCCATCAGAGGGCACGATGGGCTTCTTGAGTAAGAAGTCTTCAACCTCCTCTTCCATGTGCAAGTTCACTGCACCCTGTGAAGGCACCACAGACACTTGGCACCTGCATGTGTCATGCTTGCAGCAATGATTCTGCAACAGGGATCTTTAAATGGGCACTATGTATATTTTATGAGTGCTTTTTGTGAGCTTGGGGACTTTCACAAGCCGTAAGACAGTGGCAAACACTAACATTGTATTTAAAGTACTTCCTTATCATACTTTAACACTATTTTATTGGTGAAAAGATGAAAATGCACAAGCAGTTACTTTCTTCCTGGGAAGGTGTGTCCCAATACCCCTCTCCACTGGGCAGCTTAACTCAGCCACGTTGCCAGAGAGCCCTGGGGTGTTCAGGCCTGGCTAAAATCAGTGGCAGCACCTCCACATGCCCTTGCTGGTGATGGTGTGAGGGCCAGAAGAGGAGCATCTGCTGTACAACGCGGCAGAGAGCAGTAGAGGCCAGGGACATTCCCTCAGGGCACCGGGAATCAAAGGTCTCTCTCACAGAGGTCTCTTAGTTCTCATAGCCAGCATGTGAGCTAAGAAGCGGCCAGGTGTCACCATCTCCTTTTTCAAAAGTCACAGAGGCTGTCTATTCTCCTTCTATGCTTCCCATGATAGCAGGGCTCCCCAGTAAGCCTCAGGATCCCATACCTTGATGTGACCTCCCTCATATTCGTATGGATATCGGCAGTCGATGATAACAAACTCTTTAATGAGGTTGGCAAACTTGCCATTCAAAACAGATGCCATCTGTGGAGAGAAAGCCCAGGAGATTCAGCTTTAGCTGCCAGAACAGCTAGATTCAAATACTCTATGGGAGGCAGCTTCCAAAAAGATGACTTACAATTTCTGGAGAGATGTATTTTAAATCCTGATGTTTCCCAGCAACTGTATGAAAGAGATAACCCTTAAAAAAGAGAGAGAGACACTTAGCAAATCTGAAAGCCTATAAACACTTAATACTGATTACCTGCCTGGTAAGAGGCAGCATTAAAAAAACAAACATTAATCTAATAGGTCATGCTAGTTACTCGTTGAGGCCCTACATTAATATCCAGGCATTTGATTTTTGCACAAACCTGTAAGGCATATTATCCCCATTTCCAAAGGTTAAAGCAGCTAGTCTGCCAGATCTGAATACAGAAACCTCAGGTGATTTCCTTTCCTTTCCTCTTACTTTTTTGTCAGGGATCCTCATCTCAGTTGCCAGACTGTGAAGAACACTTGAAAAAACAGTGAGAAATGCACTTCACTCATGTACTGAGCACCTACTACGCCCAGCACAGTGCTAGGAATGGAGATGGGAAGGATGAGACCTGGCCTGGTCTTGAGGAGGAAGATGGGCACACCAGCAATTTCTCATTGTGGCAAGTGCCCGAATCAAGAGCTCACCCATCCCCATGGTCATGTGCAGGGTCATCATGACAAACATCACCAACAGCTTCAATTCAAGTGGAAGGGTCCACGAGCCAGGACACACTCAGGTCTTGGCTTGTTACTCCCGTCCACTAGAATTGTCTCCTATTTTTTAACCTCCTGTGTCTCCCTGTTCCTTCAAAAGCCCCCTGGCTGAAATATCGTCAGGCCAGACCCAATCTGCCAGCTGAGACAAAACCCCTTTATGTCTCCTAGCCTGCTGACACTGCGCTGACATTGCCTTCAATATACCACGTGGTTGATGTCCACACGGTTCGACAGGTCTTACTGACCACATGTAATGTTTTCTGAGGGAAGGAACTGGGTCTAATTTTTGGAATCTTTGACTAATAACACATAATAATAAGTACTTTAATAAATGTTAGCTAAATAATGAATAAAAGATTGGTTTAGTAACCTTCAAGTCATATGTGGTTAAACAAGCTGCTACTGTCACACCCCATCCCACCCTCATATTTGCCACAGCCCAAAGGTGGCCAACTCCTCCCCACAGCCAAGCCGGCAGTCTGTCAGCAGATCTCCCTCTGCACCTCCCCGGGGGCTTTTCCCTCATCGGCTATGCTCCTCTAGACAAGGAGAAATTCAGTCTCAACCCTGGACCTTCTGCGAGAACCTTTTGATATACAGACGTGTAGCAAGGCCACAGGTTTATTTCTGCATATTTATACTTTTCTGTATTATTATTACTTTTATAATCAGAAACACAGTTTCCAGAAAGCCTGGCCTTTGGGTTGAAGTCAAGGTGGCCGGTGAGCAGCTTCTACTGAAAACCTCTGATTGGCACCAGTAAGGTCTCCAGTTCCAGAGACCAAAACACATCTGATCATGAGTTTGTTTCCTTTATCTTTAAAAATGTCCAACTGTGTCCCGTTGGGAGCACCCCAGAAGCCACCTGAAGGAAGGAGGCAGGCTGAGGGGGTTCTAGGTAACCCCCACCCGCCTGCATCACAGACAGAAGCTAGCACCTGCTTGCAAATACCTTGGAGAAGTCTCCTATAAGGTCCCTTGGGTCATTATCCAAAATGTTCTCAATGGTCCCTTTTGGGGAAGATACCAGGGATGAAGATTGATGTAGAATCTGTAATAAATCAAAGGCGGAAAATGAGGCCAGGGTTCTAAATAGGACTTTGGAAAACACTCACCTGGAATATGTCGTAAGGAGGGGATTAAAATGTTAACGTTGATACAAATACAGATTTTTCATATTTGATAGACTCTAGAGTGAAAAAAGCAAGGGTTACTAAGTCTACTGGTTACTACGTCTACTATGATTACTACTAACTGAATTGGTCTGAAACTGTTTTCCTTCCCGTTTTTAAAAAGGGGGATTGGGCCGGCCGAGTGGCGTGATGGTTAAGAACTGGCTTGGGATGCCAGAGGGCCCCGGTTCGGATCCCACATATGAGGGCCAGTGACACTGCCCTCCACAGCTAAGATGCTGAACAACAGCTCAACCTGGAGCTGGGCTGCCGTGAGTCGCTGGCGACGGCGTAGGCTGCAGCCCCTGTGGCAGTGGGTTGCCATGGGCTACCGTGTGTAGCCAGCAGCCAGCGTGAACGGCCAGCAGCCGCAGTGAGTGGCCGTCCAGAATCCGGCGACTGATCTGCCTCGCCCGGGAAGAGCGCAATGATGATGCCAACTTGGGCCAGTGAAGCAACGTCCTCCACAACTAGACTGAAGAACAAAACAACAGCAACTTGTCTGTTCCCCTTCCCCCAATTCCCAGCGCTGTTCCCATCCCCCCAATTCCTTAATAAAAATCTTTAAAAAAAAAAAGGGGGATTAAAAGTAAGGCTAAGTCTAAAAAAGTATTTCTTAGCTCAATTCGCTGAGAAGCTCTAGGACTGCCACAAGTACCCCTAGAGGACAGTGTAGTCTTTAAATACTATTTTCCACTAAGAGAAACCAGGACTTTTTTTTTTTAGCTGAGCCATCCTGCTACCTGTTGGCAGCTCAGCGGCAGCTCAGCTCGGGCTGGGCATCGAACCGCTGTTGCTCAGAGCTCACACTCTTGAGCGAGCTCTTAACCAACTAAGCCACTCGGCCGGCCTCGAAACCAGGACTTTTTAATGAAGTGATTACTCCAAGTCGGGACAAGAAAGCTATCAGACCTCTAACGGTATGTCAAAAGGGCTAATTGTGGGGAGGTAAGAATTTCTTCAGTTTTCTTCAGCACTCAACATATTAAAAAGATTGATAAATTGAAATACACTTAAAAAATCAAGAAATTCTGTTCATCAAAAGAATAATATTAGGAGAAAGGACAAGGCCGAGTGGGAGGATTTACCCAATAAAAATTCATTTCTGAATATATATATATATATAGTACCCCCATAAAAGAAACAACCTAATAGAAAAATGGGCAAAAAACTTGGACAAGTAATACAGGGAGGAAAATGTAGGACCAAGAAAAATGACTATCAGGGGAATGCAAATGAAAACCAGACATCATCCACTCACCAGAGTGGTTAAAATAAAGGGATGGACAGACACCACCAAATACTGGTAAGGATGTGGGAGAAATGGAACTTTCATACACTGTTGTGAGCACAGACACTTTGGAAAACTATTTGGCAGTGTGTACTAAAGCTAAACACACAACTAGCATAGGACCAGCATTTCCATCAGAAATGAAAGTGTACACTTACAAAAAAGAAAAAAAAGTTTATAGCAGCTTTATTCATAGTAACCAAAACCTGTGAACAACCAGCCAAATGTCAATCAATAGTAGAACAGAAAATCGATAGTCTGTTCATGCAATGAAATACTACACAGCGATGAAAAGTACCTAGGGTCGGCCGAGTGGAGCATTAAGAGCTGGCTTGGGATGCCAGCTCTGTGCAGCAGAGCCCCGGTTCGGATCCCACATGAGGGCCAGTGACACTGCCCTCTACAGCTAAGATGGTGAACAACAGCTCAACCTGAAGCTGGGATGCCGTAAGTCACCGGCCACGGCGTAGGCTGCAGCCCCTGCTGCAGTGGGCTGCCATAAGCTACCGTGTGTGGCCAGCAGCCAGTGTGAGCGGCCAGCAGCTGGTGTGAGCTGCCAAGAGCCACCGTGAGTGGCCATCCAGAGACCGGCGACCGATCTGCCTCACCCGGGAAGAGCACAACGATACCAACAAGGGCCAGTGAAGCGACGTCCTCCACAGCTAGACTGAAGAACAAAAGGACAGCAACTTGTCTGTTCCCCTTCCCCAGATTCCCTAGCGCTGTTCCCCTCCCCCCAATTCCCCAATAAAAAAAATCTTAATTAAAAAAAAAAATACCCCATGGATACACACAACAGGCGATTCTCACAAAGACAACACTGAGCAAGAGAATCCAGACATAAAAAGCAAAACACAGTGACAGTCTGAGGCCAGATCCGTGCTACTGAGGGAAGAGGTACAGGAGGGGCTCTGGGCTGCTGTTAAAGCTCTTTCCTGATCACAGTTGGTATTTATGGGGTGTGTTCACACTGTAAAAACTCACTAAGATATACACTTACTTGCACGCTTTTCAGTATGGTAAAACACTTCAGTAAGTTCTATTTAGAAAATAAAACCTCAGGAGCCAAACTGAGAGGCAGTCAGATGTCAAAAGATCACCTTTTGAAACCCTGGTTAAATGAAATAATGAATCCAAGCAACAATTATCAGTGGCTGCCTAGCACACTGCATCTCTTGATCAAAGGAAACAAAATCACCCATGAAATACTCTTGCCAAAGAAAGGGAACCTGAATTTGATCAAGCCTTTCTAGAGTCTAGGTTTATGAGTAATACAGGGGATAGAAGACAAGGTTAGAAGACGCTGATGGACTGTGGAAACCTCTACAGGACAAATGACCTGATTTCTTCAACAAATAAATTGCAGGAGGGAAACAAAAAGATGAGGAACAGGAACCCAAATAATAAGAGACCTATTAACCAACTGCAATGTACAGACCTCATTGTATCCAGATTTAAAGTAACAAAAAGGTAGTTAGGAGACAATTGAGGATGATATTAAGAAAATAAAAAGGCAAATCCCAAGTATGGCAAGAGTAAAAGGAAACAGATATTCCTAAATATTGATAGATACATAAGCTAGAAGCTTTCTGAAAGGCAACTTGTTGACATGTATACAATGCAACGTTTCATAAACGTTCCTGCCCTTTAACCTAGAATTCCACTTGTAATTAGAAGAAATAAAATGGGCGTAAAGTATTAGGCACCTAGAGTAGACAATGTGAGGCACCAGGGCTAGATGTTTTCATGGATGGAATCTAGCTAACCTTTAAGACAACTGATATTTACTCAAACCTTTTCATGCTATAGAAAACATGGGCAGTTTTCCAGTTTCTTTTATAATGCTTAATACCAAACCGTACAATGAAGGAAAAACAGTGTAAATAAAAGCAATTCTAATAAGCCAAACATGACATTTTGAGAAGCAAGATTAGTTTTAAAATCAGGAAATCTATGGAGGTAGACAACAATATATAATATAGTTAAAAACATGAAGTAATCACAGCTGGGATACAATAATGTTTTCAAGGCTATAGTACATAGAATAAACAGAATTAAGTAATGCAAAAGAGCAAAGGACTTACGCCCAGGGAACCATGAGTCTTTAAAGAAAGGTCACTCATCCGAAGAAATGGCTAATGGTCAATAAGAAATGAAGAGGGCTGGCTGAATGGCGCATTGGTTAAGAGCTGGCTTGGAACGCCAGCTCTGAGCAGCAGGGCCCCGGTTCGGATCCCACAGGAGGGCCAGTGACACTGCCCTCTACAGCTAAGATGGTAAACAACAGCTCGACCTGGAGCTGGGCTGGCCAGCAGCCAGCGTGAGTAGCCGTGAGCAGCCATCCAATGGCTGGTGAGTGACTGCCTCACCAGGGAAGAGCGCAATGATGATACCAACATGGGCCAGTGAAGCGACATCCTTCACAACTAGACTGAAGAACAAAAGGACAGCAACTTGTCTGTTCCCCTTCCCCGACTCCCCAACGCTGTTCCCCTCCCCCAACTCCCCAATAAAATCTTTAAAAAAAAAAAAGAAAGAAATGAAGAGATGCTCAATCTCCCCCCGGAGTCAAGAAACAGACACCAGGTACCACTTTTCACACATCAATCAAAACAGCAAGGCCTCCGAGGAAGGATAACATTCGGTGCTGGGGAGATTTTGCAGAAGTGTGTCAATTCGTGTTTCTCATAGGCATGTGCATTGCTGACTCCTTTTCGAAAGCAGATATAGTGAATGTACATAGCATTTACCCGAGCAACCCCATTTATTCTCCCCAAAATAAACCTGTAAGGATGGTAAATATCGTAGCTGTTTATAGTGTTAAAAAATAGGAAACAATCTAAATGTTAATCAACAGAAAAATAGCATAGCAATAAAGATTCTCATGCAGCTTTTTAAATATAATTTACATTTGTCTACTGACCTACAGAGATGTTCATTAGTAGAGAAAGTTTCAAAATAACATGAAATCACATACAACTATAAGCAACGCCATTTATTAACTTGGGCGATTAGAAGTCGATATACTGAACTTGACACCAAAGAGGATATATATATATTTTTTGAGCACAGGTGAAGCCTTTATAAAAATTTTATTAGGCTATATACAAGAGGTCTGAATTAAATCAATGAAAATAAAGGAACTAAAATACCTAAAACTAAGTGATAATGAAAAATTCTACAAAGTTGCAAGACAAACCTAAAGTAGTGGGAAACTTATAGATCTAAATAGATCAGGTATAAAGATTAAAAATAAATGAATTTAGCCTAAAATTCACCAAGCTAGAGACAGCAACACAGCAAACCCAAAGAAACAAAAAGCCCTAAGAAAAGCCTGCTCTCCCGAGCCAGAGGACTTGGAAAAGGGCAGCCTTTCAAGATAAAACTTTTAGACAATATAACACTCTACTCCAGCCAACACCAAGAGAAAAATCATGGCCTCATCAACAAGGGGGGAGCTTAGATGTCTGCCCTTGCCCAGCTGTAATCAAGTGTCCAATCTCCGCTCCACTAGGATAGTGTGAGTGGAAACCTTAAACTCCCACTCCTGCCAAGCGACGACGAGGCTTGCCTCCCTTTTAAGTCTCGTGCCATGGGCGGCTGTGTTGGGGAACCTGAACTTTCATCCCCACCTTCCCCACAGCCCCCGAGGAGGCCTGCTAAAACAGAAGATTGACATAGACCAGAGTCTCGTGATACCCACAATATAGATACAACTGAAAAATCACTTGTCATACCAAAAACTAGGAAAATCTCAACTTGAACAGGAAAAGACAACAACAGAAGCCAACAGCACGACACAGATGTTGGAATTATCTGAGAAGGATTTTAAAGCAGTCATCATAAAACTGCTTCAATAAGCAATCACAAACACACTTGAAACAAATAAAAAACAAAAAGCAAGTCTCAGCAAAGACAAAGAACCCAACAGAAATTTTAGAACTGAAACATATAGTAGCGCTCTCCTCGGGCAGAAAGGAACCTGCAGAACGCACCTCCTGGGGCTTCTCTGGACTAGCTGCCTCTTCGGGACTGGGCCAAGCCATGCTCTTCCTCCGCTTCGTGTTTCCAGGCGGGGACTCCTCTTGAGATCGGTCAGATCTTTTCAACACTGACCGCATGGTGGAGCTACATGGGGAAGAGGAGTCAAACAGCTTGCATCGATTGCCCTTTGGGGAAAAAAAGAGAGAGCCATCTTTCATTAAGACCTGCTCGCTTGCATGGTAAAGAGAATAGACGTAGGGCTTCGTGGGATGGTTTAAATTCACCTTAAATTAGGAAACAGACACTGCCCATTCACCTAGTTCCACCAACTCTTGTAGGGCCTGGCATCTAGCGGACTAAGTACCTGGGGCTCTAAGAACAGGTACTAAGCTGATATTGTATGGAGATGAGGAAGACAATCCACACCCTTGAAAAGCTCCCTATCTATACAGGGTCCTAAGAGTCAAATAGCTGTCACCTCCCAGGCAGGAACACATCTTTGGCATCCTCTGCCCCTGTGTTGTTACTTGCACCTGGCTTGAGCATCTCAACAGATTTTAATACCCATCTAAACCCAGAAAAGATGTGAGGTGGTTAGATTGTACTATAATACAGAGCCAGTAAGGCGGTTAAAACAGTTAAGTGTGTAAGTTTTGGGGATGTGGGGGTTCACAGAGGAGCAAGTCTTCCAAAATTGTGTTCAAAAGTCCTCTCTAGGGCCGGCCAAGTGGCGCGATGGTTAAGAATTGGCCTGGGACACCAGAGGGCCCCAGTTCGGATCCCACATATGAGGGCCAGTGACACTGTCCTCCACAGCTAAGGTGCTGAACAACAGCTCAACCTGGAGCTGGGCTGCCATGAGTCGC